GCTGGAGGTCCAGAGGGGTCTGGGCTGTTCCAGGAGGTGCTGGACTATTACAGCGGAGACAGTAGTAGCCTCTCTCCCCTGGCCACTCCCAATCCTGCACCACCCTCCAGCTACCTCCAGGACCCCTGTGAGTACCCCTCCCCTTATTCTGCCCACCCTTCTACACCTTCCTCTGAAGAGCGATATCCAGCCTTATACCCTGGAGAGTCCTCCTCTTCCCTCTCACCCAGTGTCTCATCTCCCCCTTACCCTCCCAAGCCCACCCCTCCTCCGCCCCAGTCCTATCACCCAGTCCCATCCAGGACCTTCTCCCCCTCCTGCTCTCCCTCACCACGAGTAACACCCCACTGCGGCACTGCACTGAGTCCCTCACATCGCCCGCCTCCAAAAGACCCCCAGTTCTCGCAGTATGACTCCCCCAGCTACTGCAGCTCCCCCTACTGGTACGGACAGACATCGCACAGCGGCAGCCCCAGCCCACACTCACACAGCACACACTCAAATACAGCCGTGCACACACACAGCAACCCTCACACAAGTCCTCATGGAAACGCACATGGCAATCCACTCGCTAGCCCAAACGCAAACACACACTCACACACACATATAACCCCGACTCCCCACGACACACACCATCACAACACACAGCCTCACGCAAACCTGAGCTCACACACCAACACCCATCCCACCTCACATCTCCAAAGCAACCCCCTCACCCACTCAAACCCTCACACCAACAATCAGCCCCTCCACAATACACACACCAACCCCAACACTCATCTCCCCTCCCACACACACTCCAACCCCAGCCCCAGCCTCCTCTCCCACTCAACGCCTGTGCTTTATGAGGAGCGCAGCCCTCCCTCCACCATGACTGCCCACAAGCGGGATCTGACCCCCCACGCCATGAGCACAGGCCTTTGCCAGGGTCCCCTGCCTCACTCCCCATTCCCCAAACCTCCCCTCGACTCCTCGCCCCATCAGGAGGACACTAGCGGCTTCTCCCTGTCCCACCAATCCTACCAGGGCATGGGACACCGCTACCCCTCCCAGGTGGCTCAGGGAGGTGGGGTGCTGTGCCAGCTCCTGGACCCAGCCAATGATGACAGCTTCAGCGTCACCAGCCTGTAACAGCAGGTGAGTGTATTTAACCTTCATACAACCAATAAGGCCGACATTTCTAGAGGAGTGTTTGATTAATGAGGATGAATTTGCCAAGTGTTTTGAAAGTATTTCATTACTTGATATTTAATTGGATGACGAAGCACTATTAGTAGTTGTGATTAATAAATGAATAGCTAATATAAACATAACAGTGAATTTTTTTTTTATCAGTTTTACAAAAACGCTTTATCTGATTAGTATATAGAAAGGTCAGGTTAAAAAAATGCTTTTGCAAGAATCCATGTTCAAGGTAGATTTGAATGTGTTTTATAGTAGCCTGTGTCTCAGAATACTGTATGTTCAAGAGTGCAACAGCAGCAGCACCACAGTGTACACATATGTACTACATTGCTTTTAGAACCACATCAAACACTGAAGATGTGTTTACAAGGACCTATTAAGCTTTACCACTGTCAAAAATATCACACTCTCATATATTACTCTCTTTCCCTTCATCTCTTTCTCTCTCCCTTTGTTTTTCTTTCAGGTGCATTCAATCCAAGCTTTTACAGATTTGCAAACATTTTTTTTTGTTAAGGAGACTTCTTTGTGAGAGACTGTGAAATGAAGGGTGAGAATTTAGCTGCCAGCTTTGGACAGTAAAGCTTTAATTCTCCAGCACTGACAATCAAAATCAACCGCAACTTAAACACCCGAGCATGTACACACACAAATACACACACACACACACACACACACACACACACACACACACACACACACACACACACACACACACACAGACACGCATGTGCAGATGAATTCACTACCTAAACCTGAACACATAAAATCATACGTGTACACACTCACTCACACTCTACGCTGGAACGAGGGACTGGCAAAGAGGAGCTGACAGATGAATACCAGACGCTGGCGGACAGAGACAAATCTATTTCCTCATTCTGTTGAGTCCTGCTGTGACACATAGAGGACTCTGTTTCCCAGAAGTCTGTATCTCACCAAATCTTTCTGGTGTTGTTCTGTACATCTGCAATATGGACAAACTAGGATCACAATGCTCTATCTCTCTTTCTGTTTCTTTTATCTGTCCTCTCTCAACTTCCCTTCTTTGCTAAACCAGCAACCGTGTTCTGCACTCGACTCGCCAACACTGCATTTCTGTCTTGTGCTCTAACCTGAACCGCATCTGAGCCCAAATCAACTTTTTAAATACCATGAGCCTTGCAAATGTCCCGCTCTGTGCACTCCTTGTGTCGTGTCCCATAAGAGAAAAGTGGACTAAACCAGTTTCTGCTCTTGAAATACCAGCATCTGTACATATGACTCCAGCTCCAAGCCAGGGGGCCCCCTCTTCACTCTGAAGGTCCGTCATCAACATGCCCTCCTCAGCGTTCTGCCATGGTTTCTCTGCTCTGGGGGGGTAGGTGGGTGGGTGTGGGGGGGACTGCAGCATGGAGACTCAACATCCTGTGTTTTGCTGTTTTAACTACAAGGGAAAGAGACATTGAAATCACACAATGGCCCCAAAGAGACTCTTGTTTTCTGTGTGCAAATGTGAGACAGAGGAGGTTGTGTTTGCGTGATGCATGTATTTGTGTGTATGTGTGCCTATATGTGCGTGTGTGTGAGTATGCGTGCGTGCCTATGGGGTCAAAAGGAGTGAAGCTCCCCAGACACCAAAGTCTTGGCGGGGCCTCATTCTTTCTTTCACTCTCTCCCTTCTTTTTTCTGTGGTCTTGTGTTGTTTGGTGGTTTTTGTGATGAAAAAAATTGTATATCTGTCTGTTACATATCATGTATGTATCTGAGGTGCAAAATATTTAAATACACATTCTGTTCTTGCCATTGGTAATCCTGTCTATAGCATCCTGCTTCTTTAAGGGATTAAGGGAGGTGTGAGCATGTTTGTGTGTGTGTGTGTGTGTGTGTGTGTGTGTATGTGTGTGTGTGTGTGTGTGTGTGTGTGAGTATGTGTGTGCATGTGCGCATGTGCGTGTGCGCGTGTGTGCGCTTTTTAGAGCCTCCCTGAGTATTGGGCTTTGCCCAGGCTGTCTGGGACTGTGAGCGAGTGAGTTCAGTCAAGGACACAATTCGACAGGGAGTGAAAGGGAGGGGAGGAGAGGAATGGATGGCGGGGAGAGCAGGGGAGGATGTGTTGGAGGGGAAAGAAGGAAACCAGACTGAGGAAATCAGAAAAGAGTGTCAGAGAGGTTTTAAAGCCACTGAAACAAAATGCACAAAAATGTACTGTTGCAAAATACCTCTTCCAAATAAGGCAATGTACTAAAGCACAGCGTAAAGGCCGGTGGTAGCAGAGAGCTGACAGGAAGGGACCCATGCATGTCCTCACAGGGAATCTTGCTATAATACAGCAAATATTGTGCATCTGCAGTTTGTGTGTATTGTGTGTGTGCCAGACAGACAGAGAGAGCGAGAGAGAAAGAAAGCAGATGGGGGGAGTTTACTGGCTGCATATTGTGTACAGTTTGTCAACAGGCTGACTAAATAGACTCAGACATGGCTGGAGGAAATGTGTTTGCTGTGACATTCCACTGTATGGCGGAAGAGGACACGCACCGTCGACAACACTACACACAGACAGAGCGATGGAGGAGGGTGCAGAGCAACAGCCCTCTCACAGACTTTTTCTTTATACTTTATTTATACAAAACATAATTTAAATATAAATGATCATTTTCTGTGGCGGATTTGAACGAAATTACAGCCAATCAGATCCCATACTCTCAGCAAGTTTTAAAACACAAGTCTGTTATAATCTGATATAATCGAATTTATTTCTCAACAATCAGTGGCAGGACACGTATTCAGATCTTTTACTTAAGTGGAATGGAAGTATTATCACAATGTACTCAAAGCAAAGGTATTAGTACTCATTATGCAGCAGAATAACCCCTGACTGTTTATGACTGATTATAGATCTTTTAACATGTGAGCAGCATTTTAATGTAGTTGGTCAACAGCGTGTTCATCTTAACCACTTTACTGTTGTCTTGTATAATCTTAATTTTATGAGCTAATCATAGGCTTAGTATGTAAAATGTTTATCTCTTAAGTAGCAACTAGGTCTGACTGTCAAATAAATGTAGTAAAAAAAGTTTTTTTTTTTTTTTTCTAAAGTATAATGTTTCCCTTTGGCATCCAGCAGAAGTAAAAAGTAGCATAATATATATGAATTATGCTACTTTTTTACTTCTGCTGGAGATTATATATATATATATATATATATATTATATATCATATACACATATATATTCAAATATATATCCTAAGTTTACAAGTGAAGTAGCCTACCTCAAAACTGCACTTAAAGTAGGCCTGCAGTAGTAAAAAGTAACTTAAATCTACATAAGCTACAAAATATTCATATAAAAAGTAATAACTAAAACAATACATCGAAATAAACTTGATAATATCAAAGCAATATTTCTGTGTAGATGCAGAACCAAAATAAGTGGGGGACCGTCTGTGTTTATTCATCACAGAAAGAACAGTAGCCTACTGTACGTGTTGACGGCTTTTTTTTAGTTTATAGCATTTTGCTGGAAACAATTTGTGGAGCAACTTGGGAGACATTTCCTTCACCTTATTTCTTAAGAAATCATTTCAGAGGTTAAGTCCACACTTGCTCGCAGGGTTAATTGTTACCGGTACGAGTTAGTAATGTGCAAAAATAAAACGGCGGTCACTGTGTCAATAAGGCCACCAGGAATGCGCTTCGTCATCACTACTTTCCCCTGGGGGTAAAGAAGAAGAAGGAGGAGGTCGGGGAGGAAAGAGGAGGAGGGGAGTTCTCAGCTGGGACTTTCCTCACTGCCCTCCAGAAAAAAGTTAAATCACTGGGCACCACGCCGGAGATGTTCCCCGGTGTCGCCACAGAGGAGGTATGCGGACCTGTGCGCGATGGTGGGGCCGCGGTAGCCCCCCCCTCCGCTTGGGAATAGTACTCATTTTAATCCCACCGGTTCTCCTCGCGCTCCAGCTGCTTGTCGTCGCCGGCCCACGGTTACCTCGAGCCGCAAGGGGCGGGGTGGAGGGGCAGGGGCAGGAGGGCGCGGTTGCCTTCTCCGTTATCAGCATCGAACCGGAGAGGAACTCGCTCCGTGTGGGAACCCGGTCCCGGCGACCGGGTCCAGAGGAAGAGGTGGAGGTGGAGGATGGAGGAAGGAGGGAGGGGACACGAGCCTTTGAGGATGAGAACGAAATGCACTGGCACCAGGTTAGTAGTGAAACGAGAGATAAAGTTTAATGTTTCTGAATCTTTACATTATTGCTTGAATTACAAAACCGCTGACATGACACTTTTTCATTTACGCCTATATAGATGAAGTAATAATAATATTAGATGAAAACCTTACTCATAACACTTAATGCCAATTAAAGATGATTTAAAATGTACTGGAATTGCAAGAAGGAGCCAGTCAGTGTACTGTACATGTTCAGCTGAGGGATACAGATATAAAAAAGATGCTTTGGTTGCCTGGTTCAGCTTATTCATTATGCTGGGTCAGTTTGTGCACAGCCCTGTGAATTATTACAGACATGATGGAACAGGTGAGCGCAGAGGGTGAGCACAGCACTGACCCCAGATCAGAGAGAGGTGACAGCTGTTCTCTCTCTCGCTCGCTTTGCCCTTCAGTTGTACAGTCCTCCAACCTTCATCTGTGTTTGTGTGGGTACATCTCTCCCCTCTTTACCTCAGACTCCTTCCCCTCACCCCCTTCCTCCTCCACCCCCCTCACCCCTCCTCAAACTCTTTTTCATTCTCTTTTTCTCTCACTGTCTCTTTTTCTGCCCAAGGCAAAAACTCTCTGACTCATTCTGTGAATCATCACCCCTCCCCACTGCCTCCCCAATGAGGTTGCCATGGTGACCACAGGGTTCAGTCTGAGCCGGGTGGGGGGGCTTTCTTTGACTGCGTGTGTTTGTATGTTACAGTGCCCCAGGCAAATGTCTTACCAGCGGGACTGAGGTCAGATCCCGTGACCTGCCTCCTCAGCACTCATACCTGGGGCAGCGGGTGCAGCTGAGGCACTCACACGCATTACTGTCATTCCTATGCATTCAACTCCTATCCACGTTCCCATGAATCTGCTGGTAGTCCTTGCTCTGTGGTATCAATATATTGATATGTATTTCTGTATGCTCCCAGGTTGGATCGAGAGCACTGGAGGTGCAGCCGTGGGCAGCCAACCAGCCGTCATTCACAGCAGAACTCGGTCGTATCATCACACATATCACCAGGCCTCAGGTAGGTTACACAGAACATCACATAAAACAACAACCATCAAATGAAAACATCTGACCCTGTTAAAGCCATTAAAAAATTAATTTCATTGATTGAAAATCTATGAAAAGTGCATCAATTTGTGAAAAGTCTCAATGACCCTTAAATGCCTCTAATATCATCATCACAATTTGGACACTGATGATCTTTATTTACTGTATATAACACTTTTTGCCTGTTATGTTCTATAAACTCTGAAATGAAATACTGTGTAAAGTTATAAAGGGATTACATATGTATGTTGTCTAATACACGGGTCCCCAATTGTTTGGCTTGTGACCCTTTAAGTCAAACTGTTGTCTGCTTAGTTCAACCAAAAAGCAGCTTTCATCATCAGAAAGAAAAGACTAGGAAAATTAATTTTATTTTGTGTATCTGAAATGTTTCTTCTTCTTTTCTGTTTTTGTAATCATCTTGTGACCCCTCAGATTTATTTTGTGACCCCACAAAATAAATCTGATCCTCAATCTCACAATCCCAGGTCCAATATATAGAGCCTTGCTTGAAGGTCTCCCGCTACACTTTTACTCATAAGGGAACTACACATGCTGTAGCCAGGAGTTAGACCTTGCCAAGACTTAACAGCAATCAATAAAACTTCACTTTTTCAACCACTACTTCTTCTTCAGTTCACTTTTTCACTTCTACAACTGCAGACTTCCAGTGTGGGGGTTAACATAGCAGTAATATGATCAGTCAGGCGCTGTCAATATGCTGGCAGCAGAATTCTGCCAAATCTGGAGCCAGTAAAGCCTTTCAGTTCCAGACTGAAAACTCCCGAACAAGAGTTAAGACTTATGTAACACCAACTGCTGGGGAACTAGGAGGGAAAATTATATATCGACAGATTAAACCTTGCATGTTGTGTTGATTTTGTTCTCTAATTACCCAGTACCTGCCACAAATTAAAATGCCTCTCAAATCTACTCTTGCTAAATGAGCATCATCAACTGCATCTCACATTTAAGAGTTAGTTTTACCTGAATTGTCTGCTTGACTGAGAGGCACTTGGAAACATCATTTACTAATTGCTCTCACACAAACTTCTTTTTCAACTTCCTCTTCTCTCCTGGTTTTATATTTAATGTGTGTCAAACTGTTCTCAGACCTCTGTCCATCCCATCCCATGTGACCTCTCTTCTCCTGTCCATCCCCAGCTGAGCTGCTCCAGGGTTTTATCTCCAGGTCAGGCTCAGGCATCGCAGCCTCCTGCGGCTTCTCACCACTGGCTGTTGTGCGCTGAGGACTGGCTCCTTCCAGCTGCAGACAGACCGTGTGTCGCGTACTCCTTCAGGTGTGCCCATATGTCTGTACAGTATGTGCATGTGTCAGTGCATGTGCTGTGATGCTTCTGCATTCCTATCACTGGCAGAGTTGGAATAAAAAATGCAATGCATATTTAATCATGCATGCAATAATCTTCAAACCACCTCTGTGCTCCCCTGCCTCTCTGTCTATCTTTTTGTGTTTGTCTTTGTCTCTCTAGTATGGATGGAAGAGATGCAGACTTTCTAAAGACTGTGTTGGGGCTAGGATGTGAAGTGCACAGTTTTGATCCCAGCAACTCCAATACATCCAATGGTCACCTTGGCAACAGTTTGGCTAGTAACCATGGTGACGGAGGTGTGGTCAGCCAGCACAAGATGTGGCTGGAGTGGCGCGCTCCAAGGAAGCGCAAGCACAAGACAAGAGGAAACCTGAGTAGTGTTTCTCAAACACTGGCACATATCATGACAGCTCTGGGGCATCACACAGTAAGACACACACACACACACACACACACACACACACACACACACACACACACACACACAGAAATTTAGAGAAACAGTGCCAAACAAACATACCTTAAGAGTCTTTTCACCCCAACATACCCAGAAAGCTCTCTTACTTGTACGTTCCCATGGCAACAGGGCTCTGCGCCATCCCTGGCTGCCATGGCAACAATTTCAGTGAGTGAATCACACACTGGCCCAATTACCTCCTGCAGCCACAAGAGGGAACTACATACCTACAGTTTGAGTGTATGCTGGTTGACAGGATAAGAAGTACTTTGACGTACCAGTTAGAAATATTTAATAATACTTTTAATTAGATTTTCAAATATTTGGCTATAAAGGTATGCTTTGGAAAGCAGCAAGGCTGAATGTCATGAAAATTGTCTTGCAATGCAGTTCCCTGATATTTTATGGATGGCCTCTAATTTTAATAGAAATATAATACCATGTTCTTATTTGGAATTTTTTTTTTAAATTTCTAAAACACACTTTGCACTTTTGAAGTACTAAAGGACAATATTGAATTTTTATTCACTTCTCTATATTCTCTATATATCTTTAGGTTCACTTTTTGTATGCTGACCTGCTCAGCGCTGAGTGGCGTGTTTTCCAGAACTGGATCGAGTCAGGAACTCTGCAGAGTGTCCATCATCTGGTTGCCACAGTACACCTGCAATGGCCAGGGTTTGAGGTGGGAGGAAGCGATGAGGAAGTGCTCCGCTATTGGTTCAGCATCCTACAGGGTCTCCAAGCTTCTGGACTCAAGCTGGTCCATAGCTCTGCAGGAGAGGGTCACAGTGTCCTAAAACGAACAGTAGCAAATGCTCACAGCTCCTACACACTCAGCTGGGTCAACACAAGAAACTGACACTCACATGAAGCATGAGCACAGGTGTACACACATGACTAGACATTATGGATGTCCTAAGACAAAAAGGAGAGGGGACTTACAATAGTAAGTGGAGTTAGTCTATGAACTTTTCATTTTCCGGCACATGCATTTCTTAACATGACATCTCCCTCTAGTGGAGATGAAAGGATTTTATTTTTCATGACTCCACCCTCAGAGGGAAATAATGTTGTGTCTGAGCATGATACTGGCTAATTTGACCAAATATGGAGCAGAGGGTGGACTTGCTGATTTAACTGGGCAAGAGCGCAATAATATAATAATTAGATTTACAGATTTTTATTTTGTCTCACTGTCAACAGCAGATATATGTAAATGGTAGCTACTGCTCGACAGCTATCTGGCAGGTACCAACACATTTTCTTTTTTTTTTTTTTTAGTTGAACCATGGTACTTGGTTGAATCAAGTATCGTATCATATTATTCTCATCTAGTGTGACCCATTTTACATTAATTGGATCCAGCTCTGGTTTGAATGTAAATTCAACAAATTATGTAGATTCAACTGATTATTTGATGTATTTGTTTTAATAACATGCTTTATGTGCAATAATTGTTTACATTGAAGAGAAACTTAAATTATATTGAGACTGAGTGCCTACTGTGAAATATACAGAAATTCTTCCATTATACTGATGCATTTTTGCACTGAACTGTGTACTGTATAACAAAGAAAAAAACAATGAAACTTTGTTACAAATGTGCATTTATACCACAATAAAATCCCAAATAAAGCCAGAAAGCCGTTACTGTTACTTTGTCTGTCTCCAGAGAACCCTGATAATTCCTGATAACAAGAGGTTGTTCTATAAGAATATTTATTCATTGAATTGATGAAACAGTGACATTAGTGGCATCTGTTATGCACATTGTTTTGCATAATCTTTGTTAGGCAAATTATTTAGAAAGGAAGTTTGCTAGATAATTTCCTCGTTTTTAAGACATACACCTTTTAACTTCACGCAAACCTAGACAAATAATTAGATTTAATTTTTAGAGAAGTATACAGTTACAATTCATGAATTGTTAAAGAAGTTTATTCTGCCTCATAGCAGCAGAAAACAAAGATGGACATACAGTAAGCAAGATCAGAGGGGGCTCTATTGTAGATGTAAGCATATGAATATGATTTATGTGATACCTTAGTTCATCTTAATTCATGTGTATAATTTGAATACATCTTATGTGGAGTTATTCAATTGCAGTTTTTGTATTTCCCTTTAAATGTATTTGCACTTGTTCCATAAACAAAATCAAACAAGTGGCTGCAACAGTGGCTTAACACAAATACTCCTACAAGTTGGTACTGCACCTCAAGTTAAGGCAATAATTGCACCATTCAAATAAACACATTGTCTCAATACTATCATTTGCCACATGGTCATAGGTTCTAGGCCACTGAATAAATGATTTACCCTTTACTGTATAACGGCTTGCTTCTCCTACCATAAACCTTGAAAACTTCCAGTTTGCCGGGCTGAGTTGTGGTAAAGGATGCACTTAACACTCACCCGGTGAGGTTCACAGGACAGCTATTTATCCTCTTAAGTGCTTTTCTCCACAGTGAGCTCTTATTCATAAAGGCCAATGCCAGTCATTCCTCGGACTCGTTCCAACTCGCTGGAGCGCACGTTGGAATGTGCTCCTGCCTCCACCCTCCGCTACGCAAATTACGCACAGATGTTTGCCACTAGTCAGGGTGGAGTTGCGCTCTTTACGTTGAAATTTCCACATCCTGTACTCAGCAGAAACCGTCGACAGGAGAAGTAGCCAATCAGCATTGAGGAAGTTAGTCGCTCGACCAATCAGAAGTTCACAATCCCGGGACCTTCGTGTTCTGTGTCGCTCGTCCGCATACTGCACCGCTCAACATTTCTTGTGGAAATCTTGAGACAGGACAACAAACAGAGAGTATAGAGAGAGCCAACAGTTTCCACTTTTGACGGTAAGTAAAGTATGTTTAGTCGGTGTTGTTTTCATAAAGTGAAGAATGTAACTATAGTTTTGTTTGGCTGTTCCTTCGAGATAAGGAGCGCCTACAAGTTACTTCCTGCTCTGACAAGGCCGAGATCCCAAGTTACATTTTAGCCCATAGCTAATGTTGTGAGTGTAAAAGTGTAACGTTTACGACTGATTCTTTCTCTAATAGTTACTTGTTTAGGAGAAACCTTACAGCGTATCCAAAATGTTGCACTTCTAATAAGTGAAACCTTGCTAATGTTGGCTTGTTAATGTGACAGAGAGCGGTTGACTGTATGTTAATGCCGAACACACCATTAACCACATAGTGCGAAGCTGTATTTCAACTGGGTACAGCTGTAACAATTGCAAGTCGGCTTTTCATGAAGAAAGTAATAAACGTGACACCAACAATATGCTCAGTTTGGAAATACGCATAACAACGTGGCTGTCAAGTCAAGAAGAAGTGCAGACATTTGAACCCACCGAGAAAAACTTGACCCCAACGTTAACATGAAAAACTTGTAATTAAGCAACCGAAATGGGGAATAGGAAGCACTGCAGGGTATACTTACAGTTACAGTACGCTCAGCTCTGGCTGCTCGCACTGTCCTGGTGGCAGACAGAGTCTGCAGCCACTGCAAATCTCTAAGCTCCTGTGGGAGTTGACATTTTCTGAACATATTCCATATGGCACTGAAGTTACTGCTTTTTGTGGAGAGATGACACGCTCAGTGTCACACGCTAACTGATTTGTCCAATATAACTTTAAATATTTACTTCACTGTAAGCAGAATTTTGAAGAATTATTTCTCAGCTGAGTTTTCCCTCCTCTTTTAAACTAATTTCCCAGTTTCGTTCACAAGGACTGGGTGTATTTTTGTTGTTTGCTGAGTGGAGCAAAGCTTTAGTTTTGCTTCTGCTTTAGCTCTGTCTGGCTCAGTGTTTATTTATATATGCCTATCTGTATGTCATATGAGCGTGTGACTTATTTAGGGATGCAAGTAAAGATTATTTTTATCATCAGGCAATATGTTAATTTTTTTTTAAATTATTTTTTGGTCTATAAATTGTAATAAACCAGTGAAAAATACCCATCATAATATCCCAGATCAAAGTTGATTTTAAATGTTCCATTAAACAGTCCAAACCCAAAATTATTCATTTTTAGAAGGATACTGAACATTAAAAAGCAGCAGATATTCACATTTGAGAAGCTGTAACCAGTAAATAGTTTGTTTTCGCTTGATATGTTACCTTATTGATTAATTATCTACCTATAGACAATCAAAGAATCAACTAATTGTTTAAGCACTTGACTTATTAGTATCACAGATGCATGTAATATATGGTAACAAATCTCTACAGCAATGCCTCAGTGTTGTGCTATAGTCTCTTAATGTTTCTGTGTCTTTGTTTCAAGTGACCTTCCTTCTCTCCCCCATCAGGGTTGGGCCCCCTACCCACCACACCCAACCATGCCTTTGGTGACGAGGAATATAGAACCGCGGCATGTCTGTCGCCAGTCCATCCCTACCAAAATCCGCAGTGAGCTGGAATGTGTCACCAATATCAGCCTGGCCAACATCATCCGCCAGCTCGGCAGCCTCAGTGAGTGTGCGCTGTGTGTGGCTGGGTGTTAACACGTCTGTCATTAAAATATGGTGTGAATGGTTCATAACATGTGACAGGTGTATATGTAGTTGTGAATGATAAATGTGTATCTGCTGTGATACCTGCTTTAATCTGTTGAAATCATAAACCAACGTGTGTCTGTGTTTTTGTAGGTAAGTATGCAGAAGATGTGTTTGGGGAGCTGTTTGTCCAGGCTGGAGCATTTGCCATCAGAGTAAATACGCTGGGAGAAAGAGTGGATCGTTTGCAGGTCAAAGTCACCCAGCTGGACCCCAAAGAGGAGGAGGGTAAGTACTCCCACATTTTACTGTTACTATGACTACTTATGTTATTATTAAAGTAGCTAATTAGTTTGAATACAGCTAATATAACATCAGATTTAACATAATAAATATTCAGTAACATTCTCTCTGTTTCATCTGTCTGTGTGTCTCAGTCTCTCTCCAGGCCATCACTACCCGTAAGGCCTTCCGTAGCAGTGTGACCCAGGATCAGCAGCTATTCACTAGACCGTCTCTGCCAGTGCCTGTGCAAGACACCTACACGATCTGTGATCCGCCTCCACCACTCAACCACCTCAGCCAATACCGGTAGGACTCAGCAGACACACAAATACACATCCAGAGCTCGTATTCATTCACTGGAGAGTAACATGCAAGGAATAGTAAGAGCACGTGCATGCACATGTGTACACATAGACACATGCGCATATGCTCTCTATTTTTGTCATGGCTATGCATTATTGAAACCCACCTCTCTGATGCATATGCTTTCAAACCTCGTCAAAGGGTGGATCTCAATAGTTGTCCTATAATAGACTTCAATTAAAGCCAGAAAGCACCATAGTAAAATTTGTGACGTCAAATATCACTGAAATGTCAAACTTGGCGACATGTTGCAAGGACAAATGTAGAATGTAGATGTACTTAGGTAAGATTCCTCATGCTGATTCTGGGCATTTTTGACCCATTTATGCCGACAAGCAGATTTTGGTAAAGTTAATGTAAAGTTAATCATTTATATTAAATGTAAATGGTTGTAATTGTAATTATATTTAATCAAATGTATTGAATCAAAGCGGCAATGAAGAAATTCTGTGGGGAAAACAATAACAGTGTATGTCACAACCCAGCTGAGATATATCACTGAGCGCGGAATATAAATTATGCACTAGGCATGACATGTCATCGGAAGTATGATTAATTAGAGATCAGAACAAAGGGAGCTTGTGGTGGTAGAGGTTGAAGTCTGTATAATCAGTATCCACAGCAGTGGCATCAATGATGCACAGAGTGAGAGCGTAAGCTTTTCCAATTATATTATAAAGACTCTCTTGTTTGAAAGTGAATTAATTTGACCATGACAGTTCTGGGATGCATACTTGGCACTGTGGATCTGACAAAGGAAAATAGCTTGTCCTAGTAAAGGTCTCTTGTATTGAAAAGCCAAAGTGATATGTCTTGTTAATGTGTTGACACAAAATGCAGATAAAGATCTGTTCTGTGACACATTATTTATGTATGTGAACACAAGATAACATGATGTGTAACTACACCGGTTGTAAATGGTTGCCTACAGGGACGATGGGAAGGAAGCCCTGAAGTTTTACACTGATCCCTCCTACTTCTTTGACCTATGGAAGGAGAAGATGCTGCAGGACACCAAGGACATCATGAAGGAGAGACGCAAGCATAGAGTGAGACACATAAACACTCTCATACGCACGAAAGCACGAGTCACTGAGTCGAAACAAGTTAACATTGGTCACATCAAATAAAAAAGCATTTGGATCCAGCGCTTATCTTACTCTTTTTTTTTTTTTTTCACTCTCTGTTCTGAGTAGAAGGAGAAGAAAGATCATCTGAACCAGCGGACACTCAATCCTCGAAAGATCAAGACCAGGAAGGAGGAATGGGAACGCCGCAAGATGGGAGAAGAGTTTGTGGTGCCAAAGAATGAAATGATGTAAGTGGAGAAACTGGCTGAAGTGAGAGGAGGTTTAATGGGAGTGTGCACTGGTGTAGAGTTGTGGTCATGCACAGACCCATGAGGCTTTTAAGTGCATTTAAGCAATGATTTGAAATGAATGACTTGATGAATTCATTATTTCCTTCTCTAGTTAACATGGTAACATGGCAAACTTGACTCGACTCCCCGTTCTTATCAGCCAATCTGTACACAGTGATATGGGTGGTATGTCCTGTCCGAAAACGTTCTCACGGGGTTGGGTGTAGAGCTGGCTGTCATTGGCAAAGAGCAGTAAACAAATGTGTGAGTCACACCACGCCTGAGGGTTGTAAACGTATGAAATAGCCTCAAATATGTAAAAATAAGTATCTAAAAATCTCAAATTAGAGTCACATTGATAGAATTGACTAGAATTAATGTTTTAGAGTTTTTCTGCTGCATTTTGTATGAGTCATAGTACTTCATCTGTTTTTAAAGGTTATTTTAAAACCATGTCATTTCCTGGCTTGTTTGTAACTCGCATGCCAGACCTAATGAGGAAAAAACATTAAGTTGAAGGGCAAACCTTTCTCGTACCGCTGTGTAAGTCACTGCACTTTCCGTTTGTCATTTTTAATGGCAGTGTGGACCAGCCACCACAACTGTAAGTGTCACAATTTGTGTCTTTAAAAGCAGCCATGATACTTTCTCTGAAATTGTTTCATTGTAAATGCTCCTAATCAAACAGAACATGACTGACACCTTCTAATTACGGGTGTAAGTGCCAGGCATTGTTTACCACAGTTCATTTGTGTTTCAGAGAGGAGAGATGGGATTCTTTATTTTGGGCAGATAGTGAGTGTTGTGAATTTGTTTCAAGGAATTCCTCTGAGGGTCTGAATGGCAGCATTGGATCCGGAGAAGGCTTCACTTCTGAAGGCCTCGAGCTGAGTACTGGCTCCTACGCTTATGATCCCGGCTCCCCTCTCCCTGTGCCCGGCTCCGATGACTTCCTGCCTCCTCCACCCCCAGACATGGCGTGAGTAGCATCAAGCATATAAGCCCACACATACTGCCATCACACCATCATCCCTTCCAACATGTAGTGAACGTACAGCTGCACAGCAGTCCCACACACAAGATTACAGGGTTTGACGGGAGCAAAATGGATTATACACCCACTCTCCACTTTCAGCCTGTGAGTCTTTAGTGAACACGAGCTGCTGAGGTTGCAGGTGCAAAGAAATTGTGGGTTGGTACAGGGAAATGAATGGTCCATTTCATTTTTCCTTTCATCTCTAACTTCGGCTCCATCACTCACAGGTACAATGATGGACAGTATGGAGCACCAGCGGCGAAGCGTGTCAGCGTGCTCAGTCCAACCCACCCACCTCCTGCTCCCCCCATGGCTTCTTCCCAGCCCAACTCCCGCCCCAACCTTGCCCCACCACCCGCGCCTCCTCCCCCACCTCCACCCTCTGGTTTTGGGGTTCCCCCACCTCCCCCCGGCTTCGACACCCCACCCTCCCCTCCTCCTCTCTCCTCCTCTCCCACCGCCTATCCCTCCCCACCTGCTCCCCCTCCTCCACCTGCTATGTCCACAGTTTCTCCTCCTCCTCCACCTCCTATGCCTGCAGGTGGTGGTCCTCCACCCCCTCCTCCTCCTCCCCCTCCCCCTGGCCCTCCTCCCCCATCCTTTAACAACTCCGCTGCTCCCTCTGGTGGTGGGGCGGCACCCAGCTCTGCTCCGAAACCGCAGCCAGCGCCAGAGCCAGAGCCGGCCGGTGACGCTCGCAGTGACCTGCTGCAGGCCATTCGACAAGGTAAGACACGACAGAGAGCAGATCAGTCCTTCCTGCTGATTGGCTGGATCATATTTGAAACAAGGGACACAGCCGCTGATTACAATATGCTTAATGCTAGTGTAACTGTCAGTCGTATTACTTCAGTGTGATGTTATGTGTTACAATCAATAATGGGCATGTAAAATACAATTCATTGTTATTACACAGTGAATGAAACTATTCAACAGGATAGTTCAATTAGCTCTACTTCAATCAGCTGTAACATTGAATAATAATTATCCAATATAAGGTCTAATAAATGGACAGGGACTATTCTATAGTAATGCTACTTTTTTACATTCTACGTTTTTCTACGTTTTTGGTGCCTTAAAGTAACTAGTGGAGGACAGGGACCCACGTGTAAAAACATTACTACATACTGCTACATGTGGCCAGAAAATTTACAGGCTAACTACAAGTATATTTTGCAATTTCAACAATTTCATCAATCGAAGTAAAATGTCCAATACAGACTTTGCAACGATGTATTTTTACATGTTGATACTAGTTTTATCTAAATATGAAGGATAATTGTGACTGATTACACCCCTGATCACTGGTAAGGGAGGAAACATACCTTAGTTTTTAAATTGTGGCTTGTATCGCATGCAACATTTTCCTCAATATACATAAAGAATAAAACTGGAAAGAAGAAGAAAGATTACCAACCTGCGAGCTCCCTGGTAATCACAAAATGTAGCATAGTAATCAATATTAGAATAGACAACCAACCAAGACTATGTAGATGTGTCAGGCACACACTCATTCTTAATTTCTAATTAACTCTCGTTTAGGTTTCAACCTGCGGAAGGTGGAGGCACAGCGCGAGCAGGAGAAGCGGGATCACTTTGGCAATGATGTGGCTGCCATCCTGTCCCGTCGTATTGCGGTAGAGTGCAGCGACAGTGAGGATGACTCTTCAGAGTTTGACGACGACGAGTGGTCTGAATGATCGCCATCCCTTTTCACCGTCACTACCAACTTCATATCTCCCCTCAGCCTTAAACAACATCAGAATATCTCCATTCACATTACATTCTTAAGTACCCAGTGGAGCAGCAGTCCATGTTCTGTTTTGTGTGCGAGTAAGTTTGAGAGCATGCGTGCACATATGTACACATGACCTATTGCTAATCACATTCCTTGGCTCATTTATTCCTATTTATCAAAAATTATTCAGATTAGAGGTGTGAAATCCAAAAACGTGCGTGGTTTGTCCCAGTTTGCCATTGCTTTCATTGGATGACACACCACTGATATTGATGCGAGGGTGTTGTGTGATGTGATGCATGTGCCGCTGCTGAGTCTGTGCGTAAACACATCACATCTGTCCTTATTTAGCTTCTATTAGAATTGGGTGCCCTTTGCTGCAGGCTGCAGTTCTTGATTTTATCTGCTTTAGTGTATCATGGCAAAGGATAAAAGAGAGGGAGTGCACACACACACACACACACACATGCAGGCAACATCTTCTATATTTTTTATGCACTCATTGGAAAGACCCAAGGTGTTGACATCAAAACATTCTCCCTCATTTATAGGCTATATGATATAGATGTAAAGTTTATATTACATATAAAATCATATCTACTAAAGATAATACAATCCCTTTAAACTTGTTTTTTTTTTATCACTTTCCTCCCCTCACTTTTATATTCAGTCTTTTTTTCTGTGGTTGTCATGGGAACACATGGTTGTAGCAAAATCATGAATGAATTATTCAGTGTGATAGGGGAAGTATTGCCTCATGTCAGACACCTGGGGTGTTTGATGAGATCACCAAACAGAACATATGCAGACATTTAACAGATAAATCATAATTCATTTTGTACTGTGTTTCAGCTCTGACATATTTCTTCCTGCCATTTTTATTTTGAACTTCTCTGGGGATGAACTAGGCTCTGATGCTTTCAACACAGGCAGCATTTTTGCCTTATCCTGCTGCCTGATAAGTGTCTTTTTTTATGGTGCAATTCAGTGTCAGTGTAGGTTTATTTTGTTCATCCATGCTGGTCACTGATCAGCTGCTTCCAAAAAAAATGTAACAGCTGCCATTATTGAGTCAAATGTAGAAGTGACTAGTGTAGACCACATATTTTCCAAGTGCCTTTTATTTTAAGTCTGCCTGTGTTAAAGCACAATCACACAGCATGCTTAGCCAAAGTTCTGCTTCTCCTGCCTTAAATTTCCAAATGATTATAGTTATTTCAATAAAGATAGAGTGACTTACAATGATTGTTGAGATTCATCTTCTGTGGGAATGTTTGATTAGCATGTATGCTGTGTTGTGTTAAATAAGAAAGTTCCCAAGAATGTCGAGCCTTGGCAAGAATTGGCCTTATGCATGACTCATCCTCTATCCTGTTGATGTCAGTGTTATACACCTTTTCACAGTGCCCAGTGCTGGCTGTGTAGGGAGTGTGAAAATGAATCGACCGGATAAAAGTCCAAAAACTGAGTAGGAGGAGAGAAAAACCTCTTGCATAATCACTGCATCCTCAGACCAAGGCTGCTTTGTAGATTTTAAAGGGACACAGTGGGTGCAGGGTGATGGTAATAACACTGAAGATTGCTTTAGCCACCAAATAATTTAGGATACAGGGATAGAGAGCAGCAGTCTGTGCCTAATTGAGTTAAAGAGTGAGAGATAGAGAGAGACAAACACTAAAAGCCTTGGTGGCAGTGAAGAAAAGAGAACTGACATCAGGCAGTAGAAAAAGCACATTTTTTATTCATCATTATAAAATATTCATTCATTTCAAAAAGGTTGTGCAACATGAACATATGGTCAGAACCTTTCAAAGTGCCTTTAACAGCATGTGCAAAATAGAATGTCAAAGATCTAGAACTCAGTGTTTTCTAGACATTCAAGTAAATAAAATTGGGCTTTGGATTTCATATGTCATTACACTATGACAGGCTTGCATTTAAAACCCATCCCTTCTCTTGTCTTAAAGTGCAGATGGGCATTAAATCCACTTTTTATGAGCGGGGATATATATAACACCCCCTTGATTGTTTCATTCTCGGGATCCAGTGGAGCTACAATTAACTGTGGATGAGGCACAAAGTACACACAAGACAGTACGTTTAATCTTTGTGGCAACAGCGGAGCTGTTCCAACATGGCTGTCAGCCAGGACAGTTCAGTACATTCTGATCTGCAGAAGGACGTCTTCTCAGAAAAGTGCTGCTTGTGTGTGTGGGAGTGTGTGTGTGAGGCTTCATGTTCTGGATCTGGATGACAGTCAATATAGCTATGTGTGTATCTTGGCACACAAACAGTGATATGTCTAGCATAGATAGTGTGTTGGTTTGGCAATCTACACATCCACGGGGTAGTGTATTTGTGTGTTGTGTGTGTATCTGTGGGGGCAGCAGGCCTGGAGCAGCACCTTGCGAATGTCTTTATTTCTCAGACTGTAGAGGATGGGGTTCAGTAGGGAGCTGCCCGCCGCTGGCACCAAGGTGGCATAGGTGTATAGAGGAGGGCTGGACGCGTCTCCCAGCAGCCCCCAGAGAGAGAAAGGCATCCAGCATCCCACAAACACACTGAGGACCAGGATCAACCGAGAGAAGCCCCTCCCACTGCTGTGTTTGCTTGCATATGATTGGTTGGCTGGGAGGAAGTGCCTCTGGGTAGCAATTGCGTGAGCGTGCCGCCTTGCCACCCGGCATATCCCGGCGTACAATTGCAGGGTTACCATGACAACCACCAGAAACCCACCACACAGCAGCGATAAGTATGTCCTGGTCAGAGGTCGTGCTACAGAGCAGGACTCGGGCTCTCCAAGACAGTGCCATCCCATTGCTGGTCCCGCCCCGATGACACATGCACCCAACCAAACCAGCAGCAGGAGGATGGCAGCTCTGCGACGTGATTGACCTGAGCCATAGGTGAGGGCGTGGCTCAAAGACAGGTATCGGTCCAGAGCAACGCCCATCAGGCTGCAGAGCGAGGCAGTCAGTGATGTCACCAGCAGTCCTGAGGTAAGCAATTCTGACCAATCACTGGGCTCCACACAGAAAAGGAAGAGGAAGTGAAGGATTAGAGCAACGCCTGCCAGGAGATCTGCCAGCCCAAGGCTAGCTAGCAGCAGGAAGACAGGGGCACGCAGAGATGGGGTGGCCAAGATGGTGGTGACAACGATTGCATTCTCAGTGGCGATGAGAGTTCCTGAAACACACAAGGCCACACCCCACACTGTGAGAGGTGGGACCTCATATGGAGATGGGTTATCCAGCTGGTCCAAAGGGAAGAAGGGGTCTTCACCTGAGGACTCATCCCAGCCCAGGTCAGAGGTGTTCAGGATCATGACTGGTCAGCAAACACAATCTAAGAGAGAGAAAAAAGTAAAAACATGTTTGACATTAGCTCTGATGGGTCATTAGTGTTGCTCCATTTGTCCATTAAACAACCTTTCCTTGACCAGAAGCTGTGGTTCGAGAGTGTGAAGCTGCTGGAGGCCGGATGTGTCATCAGACAGAACAGAAGACTTAATGCGGTAATGGAGTATTTAAGATCTCATGCTCTTGTAATCCAATGCATCTGAGCAATAGATTAAGTTTGATTACCACTATTAGTGCATTAAGTGGTATTGGTAATTGTCATGTACTGTGTTTTCTTGCTGCTATCATTTGTCATGTTATATTATCCTATATTATTTTTATCATACAGAGGGATAAAAAATTATTTTGTTTGTAAGTAATGGGACAGATGAATACCATACCATATTTACTGATTAGACTAAGCCACTTGGTGTATTTATAGTCTAATTTATGGCCTTAACCCATCTTGTCCCTAGATGAGATTTTATTAAAAAGAAATAAAACATATCCTGGGCTACAGTGCAGTAAATAACCACAAATATAAAGTAATACAAATTACACACACCATTCTAGGCCGGAAAAACAATCTTTTAAAAAATACCCATTTTGTAAATGCACCACTCACGTAAGGCCTATAGCTCATAAACATGTCCACACTTTTAAAGACAGATTTATTTATTTTTTACTCTGGGCCAATATACTGCTGACTTTCAAATGTCAGTGACGTCACCATTGTCTTGAGGGAAGTCACGCAAAGTTGATCATTATGTCGGCTTAATGCATCGCGGTTGATAGAGTTAGCAAAGCATTAATTCATCATTAGGCTAACATCGATGAAACTATCACTAACAGCTTTTTCTTCAGCGCGTCTCTGTAAATCCAGACTCTCGTTTCTTTTCCCCTCTTGGATTCATCCTGCACGTTTCAGGACCAATCATTATAAATATCTGTAAACTCGCCTGCAGATTAATCTTGGGAGCTTCCACCTGAGGTTTCCCTCTTGATAATGTCCGAACACGATGTTCGACACTATAGACACACCACTGTGAAAGCCTGGGACAGATTCATGTGCCATGCACTGCTGCATTTCTGGAATGAGAAAGCCTGCATAGTTAATTGGACGGTAATTGGGCTATTTCAGGAATTCGCCTGTTACAAGGTTAAGATGCTTGTCCTGGTATGTTATCTTCTTGTTCTGTACAACATGTCAAAGGTTTTGCATGTAGACCAAGAGGAAATACCACATCGTGCCTGTATTACATTAATGTTATTTCAAGATTATTTTTATTTTGCTCATACCGGAGGTTTTTCTTTTTTGAGGCACCAGGAGTCTTTCATCCCCTCCCTCTCACATCTCACAGTGAAGAGGTATATCCCACTTCCTTGTTCGGAGGACCCTCTTGTATAATACAATTGCAGGTTCACTGCACCAGAGAGGATGTCCCCAACATATGCACGCACACATGAACACGCGCGTGCCACACACACACACACAGTAGGCTATATACATATCCGCATAAATTGGATTATTCATCTTACCTTATCAACACGATTCAGTGATTCCTTTGCAGGAGCGAAATAGATTTGCTCTCTTAAAAGACCCAAGTCAAATGATGCTGTGGTGATGCTCTCCGCTGTGATGCTCGGCACCAGTTTAAATAAGGAGGCCAGTCTGGTGCTCTGTGCTCCTGTCTTGCTGTCTTCATCAAAGTTGCGCTTCACTCTCACTTGGCGTGTCTTGCATCTATTTTTCTTCAGTCTCTCCGGAGCGCTTATTGGAGGCAGAATGGATGCTCTTGCGCGCGGACTCAGCCACAAGAGAGCCTGTCTGACGTCAGTGACTGGGAGCCTCGACCAATCAGGGGCCAGCACTGGATGCGGGTAGAGAAGGGAGGGGCCAGTATATGGAGTAATTTCATTCAGAAAAATGCGGCATCTCTGTCGCCCCTCCCACTGCGGTTCACTCTTGCTCTCATTTCTTGTAATAATCACCACCGATGGACCCCCCCCCCTCCCTCCAACACACACGTTTTCTCAATAAGACCCAGGGGCCTGGTTGAATGAGGGGATATTATTTAGAGATGGGCAGGGCTCAGAGGTGTGGAGCTGTGGGGAAGGAGCTCAGGGCTGGCGCTGTCCACGGTGCTGAAACGCATCTGGATGACTCATGGGGAGATGTCCTGCAGAGAAACAGCAATCTGTGTGAAACAGACACTTCAAATGAAAACTATCCACCAGGATAAAGAACAACTTTGCTCAAAATATCGTGTAACTACCCCTTGGTATAACAACAACTCGGCTATGGCTTCTTTTTTTTATTATTATATATATCATATCTTATAGTGATACTATTGGTGATAGTATTGCATTGGGAGTACATTTACGTAGCCTATGTACAAAGATGGGCTGAAGCAGTAGTCTATAATAATGCAATCTGCACAAACATCAAAATTAACCACAGACTTGACAAACAGACAAACACTTCTGTGACACCATTTATTAAAACTGGACACGATAAGCTTCACACATGTGATCTAATAGCCTTAAAATCTTTTAGAAATCTTACAGCCCTGTGCTTGTATGTGTGCAATATTGGCATGAAGATTTGTGATAGAGGGTTTCCTGTGCTCAGACAAAACCTGGAATTATAGGCCTATTTATTTTGCATGTCATGTCATGCATTGATTTGTCTTTCAATTTAAGCATCAGTTCATAGAAGCACAAGCCCCTACAGTAACATAACAGTAAGCAGGGGAGGGGGAGTCATGGCTTTCCCGGTTTGATAGTGAGAGTGTGGGTGCTGCAGAGTGGGCTGAGCTGCTGTCTACGTGGTCGCGCATATCAATGCGCTAACTCGGGGGGAATCTCGTCCTGCTCGAGCCATATTAGGACACACTTCCTGTCGATAAACCCCTCCTACGTCACAGAGAGGATCTGACACTTGACGAGGGCAAAAATGAAGTATATTGTGAAGCAAATTTCTGCAACATTAGAGTTGTTTTTCTCACCTGAAAACTTACTACATGACAAATTTGATCATAGCCCACTACACAATGATTATGTGTAAATCTTATATTTTACAGGGACAGAACTAATAACCTAAGAAAGTTATACTGAAGGAATATTGTAAGGAATGTGATCTGTGGAAGGTCCAGGTGATTTCTAAAACACTCAAAACTGTGATGGATTTGTATTTCTATGCCCTTGGACTGTGTGTATTTGTACTAACAACGGCAACGACTAACAACCAGGCTGTAAATTTCAGCATTATCCATCCATCGTTTGTCGCCGGTGCATCAGCAACGGGAGCATCAGTGGAGGAGGAAATCGTGTTCGACAGGACTGCGGAACAACCCTGCACGCGCGCGTGCGTGCGTGCGTGCGTGCGTGTGTGTTTTATTTTAAATCACGCCAACACAGATCAGCCGCCCCGTGGCTCTGCACAGACAATGTGTGAGAGAGCATTCGTACAGTGTGATATGTGGGAGTACATGAGCCACGTCGGTGTGAGTGGAGGAGGTGGTGATGGTGGAATTCACTGCATAAAGCTGAAGAGTGTGTCGTGATGCTGGGCTCAATTCACACGAGTTTAATGGGTAGGTCCGGGGTATGACTCAGAGCATTACAAAGCAACACTTGCAACTACATTACTTGTACTGATGCATGTACAGGGGCACAGGTAGGAGAGGAGGAATAAATTCGTTTCTTAGTGGGGCGTCCTGACCTCCCTTTTACTCTTCACCAATTTCCACATCATTATCATCCACATGGTACACACACTTTCAAACATTTATTTACTGAATAAGTTGGGACTGCTACTAAACATAATAATATGTGCTTGTGTGCCAAAATAACCTCAACTCATGGTCCCCTTACTTACTTTTTCTGAGCTTTATACAGCTTACGGAGAGTATTACAGTAATTATTCAATGCTTTGCTTCATATGTGGACTTCAAAACCTTCTCTGAGTTGTCTGCCATACACATCCATTATGTTAGAGAGGATTGACAAGTGACATGGCAGCACTTCATCACAGTCAGTGACACATTTGAAGTGATAATAGACCATTGACGCACAGTCTGTCTACTGTACGTAGTCACATTGGTTCTGACCCATCTCTGCCTCCTACGTCAATGTCATTATGTGTTTCAAAACCATTCATGCCTATAGTATATTTAGAGCTGTCTCAATTGGTTCAGATCACTCAAGACACAATATTAAAGGCGCTATATGTAATTTTCTCTCAATCAAAACAATAACAAAAGACCGAGTTTGGTGACGTTGTGAAGTAGCATCGTGGGAGTTGCTGTCTTCACCACCATTGCCACCATTGCAGTCAGCTTCTCCTGGTTAGAATTCCTTCATTGTCAGTCGTTCAGGAGGTTTTTACTAAGAGCCGAATTATCAGCAGATGTCTCCTCCTCCCCAAAACAAATGGCCCCGGTGATTTAATCCAGTAAAAACTCTGAATAAAGCAGTTTCACATTAAAAATTATCCCAGAGGCCGTTAACGTTGGTTCAGCTTGTTTTTCTGATTACTAATGACCCAGACATTCAAGGACGTTTTTGTTGGGAGCAAAATTATCCGCGGAGGTCCCTTCATCTCCAAAACAAATGGAGCTGGTGATTAAATCTGGTAACAACACTGAATAAAGCTGAATAAAAATCTGTGTTTCCCCCAATGCTGTTAGGTGGGTACAGGACGTGTTTGATGGGCTGTGAGCCTGCTCAGTTTGTTTCTCCGAAACTTAAGATAAAGATGTCTGATGTCCGATGACTAAAATCCTTATTCAACTTAAAATATATAGTAAGAAACAACCAAGATATAAAATGTGTATTGTATGTGGCCTGGAATTGGATAAAAAGTCGGTTTTGACTGCTTCTGGCAGACAACAACACCACTGTCGCATGTATAAGGAGATATGATGCCATTGTCAGGTGACCAAATGAAACAGACCGTCACCATGATTAATTAATTATGGATTTATCTTGGTTTGAAAATTGCTGGAAACATTTTGGTTAATGCAAGTACACAACTCAAAATATATAAATAGGTCAAGTTGTTTTCTTTAGACATTTTGAATCTTGTGGCGAATTGATTGTAGATAGTTCTGGTTTATTTCCCATAACAGCTATTGCCACCTTTAATTGGCTCGTGACTGTTTAAATGCAGATACTTGAGACACCTTGTGACATTACGGCCTTATAGCAGACAAAAGTTGCAATGAGTTTGATTAAAGAGTGAATTTTCCTTCACATTATTTAATTGTAAATGTAAAAGCCTGGATAAGTGAACTTATCCAGTATTCCAAAAGAAAAAAGAAAGCAAGTCAGAAAAACAATATGTTTAGCAACAGAAATACATTTTTAGCCATGGTAGCAGTGTGGCTTGAAATGTTGGTCTGTCAGTCAGTCCACCACTTTGGACTTAATCAAAAACTAAGATTAGCCATGACATTTGGTACAAATGTTCATGGTACCCAGGGGATGGATTGTAAAAACTCATCTCCTGACGGAGGATGAGGATATTGATGAAAAATACACCTGATGGCTACAAGTCATTTTACTGCAAACACCTGCACTAACTTAAATTTGTGCTATTTGTAAGGTCATACAGTATGTGTGAATGCTGGTGTGTGCGTGCACTGCCAGCTGAGGTAAACAGGTGTCAGTCCATCCAAACTGGTGTGTATTTCAGGGGCGCTGAGCTGGGCCAATTGGTTGCCAGGGAACCAAGTTTGGGTGTCGCTCATGTTACAAAGATCTCTGTGTCTCCTGTCTTTCTCTCTTTCTCTCCATGTCTGTAGCCAGGAAGCATATCTCTATTTGCAACTATTGGCTACCCTTTTGAGGACTTACAAAAGACATCTTAATTGAAAACTTTTTTTTGCTGATAGAAATTCAACTCAAATCACCAAGGTTTCCAGCTGTCATTTTCAGGTGTTGGTGCTCTGTGGCTGTCAGGATGCAGCAGTGGGTATTGAAGGTCCTTTGCTCCACACTGCTGCTTCTAGCAGGAGTGTCATCTGTATACGCAGGATCAGGTAGGGACGAAGCCACATGTTTTAAATATTTCTCTTACTGTATGACTGTTTCAGACTGTTTTTGTCTTGAAACCTGTTGTTTTCATGCTGCACTTTGTATCTAGTGTGTCCTTTACTTGATTCCACCAGAGCCTAATTTCACTCTTTCCATGACAATTTCTCTCCTCTAATTTACTGTGACAATGGCTCGTTCTCCAGTATTTTGTACAAACTAACAAGAAGCGAAAGCGTGAGAGGTGAATGAGAATCTACCATCCTTTCTTTGGCATGACTCCTGTCTTTTGCCCACTCACATTTTCCGATTCTAACACCGTCCAGACTGGTGGGACATCTTGCAGTAATTACAATTTTAAAATGGTTCTGTGGGAAGATAATTGTGCATCGGCCAATCAATTGGCATTGATTGACACTTCCAATTGAGTGCCAGTCTTTTCCCTCCTACAGATTGTTCTCAAGCCGAGTCATGTGACCTGTGCGTTGGAGACTCCATGCTCAACCTGACAGGCTGTGTCTGGAGGCTTTGTCCAGATGGTGATGCACCTATATGCACACACACACACACACACACACACACACACACACTCACACACACCTATGACCTATGATAGTAATTCAATCATCACAGCTACTGTAACATAAGCTTCCCTGGTTTGTACAAGATGATTGAATTATTTAGTATGCTAGGAACGCACACATAACACAGACAGACAGACAGACAGACACACACACACACACACACACACACACACACACCCACACACACACACACACACACACACACACCCACACACACACACACACACACACACACACCCACACACACACACACACACACACACACACACACAAACACAGTAAAAGGCATTTTCTCTCTCTCTCAGGTAATGATACAGGCATGTGCGTAACTGATGAGGGCGACTCGGCAGACAACACCATGAACTGTAGCTGGACCAGAGTGTCTGAATTGTGCACAGGTAGCAAACAATTCCCTCTGAAATGGACACAAATCATTTCTGTGAAACCTCAGTAACTCTCATCTCTTTTGTATGTTTCATTTTCCAGTTGTGGAGAATGTGGCTGAGGGAGGAGGTGAAGGTGACTCAGGTAAATTGTAGCAGCTCTACTCCAGCATCCCCTCTCCCCTTCCTCTTGCGTCAGACATTTATTATTCCCACAAGAGCTGAGTAAAATGTTCTCCAATGACACTCACTTAGTCATTTCTACCAGTAAAAAAATCTCCATCAGTGCTTTCTCTGGAAAAAAAAAAAAAAAACCTCTTTTCTCTCTCTCCTCTCCTCTTTTCCTACCCTATCTTGCTTTCGCGTAATTTTACCCATTAAACCCATTAAACCATGTCCTTTCCATCCAGGTAATGACAGCAACACCAGCTCATCCCCAGAGTTCTCCCAGGCCAAGTTTGACATGTCCAGTTTCATCGGCGGCATCATACTGGTGCTGTGTCTGCAGGCAGGCGGTTTCCTCGCCATGCGCTTTCTCAAATCCAAAGAGCAGAGCAGCTATGACCCCATGTGAGTTTGTGCACGTAGGTGTTAGAGAATAGAGAATTTAGCGTGACAGTATCAGTTTGAGTATGTGCATGTAAATACGTCTGTGTCACTGTGTGAAGTGATCGTATGTTGGTGCAACAGCAGTCTCTAGTGGCAGGAGAGATCAACAGCACCCCAGTCTACAAGGCAATTCACCTTCAACATCCCATAGATTGTATTTTTATTCTGATCACTAACCTCATCTCTCAATATCAAAATCCTGTCCGTCTGTACTCAGAGAGCAGCCACAATGAAGACAAGATGTGTGAAGGACAAGCAGATGAGGGTGGAGGACAGCAGAGCAGTGACTCATCGACTTGTGACGACAAGATTTTTTTTTTTTTTCTGAGCCCCTGTCATTTTTGGTTTGGTCCCCGTGTGAAGCCCTGGGGGTTGGGTGTGTTTATAAGAGGATATTTTTCTCAGATTACTGCATTGTGTAACGAGTGTCTGTGCATGTGCTCACTATGTATAGTACCATATTTATTTCAGAGACATTTTGACTGTTAGTCTTCATACAATCAGACAAATGAGAAACAAAAAGCCTCTGATTGTTTCAGCGATTCAAAACCCAACATAAATAAATCTTCACTTCAACTATTTTAACTAGTTAAAAGTTTGTCCTCTTGCAAACAACAGGCAACTGGCTGTATCAAATGAGCTGTTTCGACTGTGTAAACAGTGCAGTGCAGTTATGGGAAAGGGTGATATAATCCCATGTAGACAGAAGGTCAGACAAGGTCATTACTGGCATTTAGAACTTTTTTCAAGAACACTGAAATAGACCAAAATGAGACTGTGGAGCTCGATTTTGTGTCTACAAGTACTTCTGTGTGTCATGTGGAGTTGTGAAACTTCCTAGTGTTTTATTGAAACCAAAAATTAAACTCTATATGTATCTTATATCTATTTTATATATTAACTTGTAGTGTGTGAAATTGCTTGTCTGGGGACCCCGAGGAGCCATCTTGAGGATTCCTAAAGGTCCCACTTTTGGGACCATAGACTTATTAGAAGCTGTAGCCCTTCAAACTTCATAAAGACCTCCAGTATAGCTCTAGCACTTCACGACTTTGATTTGTGTGTTTTTGTTTAGAATGGTCAATAGCTTGGAGCCTTTTTTACAAGTTAATTTGTCATGGAGGGGATTTCAGGTTTGGTTGCTCATATTTATATGAGATACATATCAGCTTTAACCCTTTAATAACAGCTCAAAGAGATGTGATGTGGCCCTGTTTACTCGTGATAATACTGGAAAGGTTGGCTTTTATGAAATGTTTGGATTTTTTTGTGATGCCATTTGAATTAATTAATAAGGCTGTCTGTCTGAATAAATAAATAATAAATACCTGTTTCTCCCAGTTTGTGTGTGTGTGTGTGTGTGTGTGTGTGTGTGTGTGTGTGTGTGTGTGTGTGTGCTTCTTGCAGGTCAATGAGAATCTGGTAGCAGCTAAACACTGTAAAAGATTGTACAGTATGTGCTGAGTGTGTATTTGCCCTTGCCAGTAGAGTGAGAGAACAGATTCGACTGTATTCTGGGTGTGACCGGAGACGAGTGCAGATAAGAATCATCTACTAATCCTTAGATATGTGGGTGTCGGTATGGATCCCAGCAGGCAGCAAGAACACAGCGCTTGGTGGAGGCCTTTAGGGGAGCAGCAGGATGGCTGGTTGGATGCACCAGTCGCTGTCTGAGCCAGAACCTACAGGCTTGAATAAGCCCACACAAAAGCTTCCCAACTGGGCAGACTATGGCTGTCATCCAAGTCTGTTGACAAAAGACAGGACTGAATACAGGTCTTTTTTTCACTCTGAACCCCCCTACCCACACACACACACACACACACACACATTTCCAGTGAGAGAAACACATCAAGTCCGCACTAAAGTTGAGGCTGGTTTAATGTGCTGCTGGCAATTCTCTCCTCTGCTTTAAAACAAGCAGAAAGCTCTGTTTGTATGTGTGTATGTGTGTGCGTGTGTGTGTGTGTGTGTGCATGTGTGTGCGTGTGTGTGTGTGTGTGTGTGTGTATGTGTGCGCGCGTGTGTGTGTACAGTGGAGTGGGTGCAGCAGCAGCAGCTTCAGTGTGTGGCCAAGTGTGTGTTAAGAAGGTGTGGACAGCCATAAGGATGAAAGTTACGTCCCACCTCCACCCTGCAATTGGTGTTAGAACATCCGTGTGTTTGTGAGTCATATCAAACAAACACACCGTATCTCTCTCTCTCTCTCTCACACACACACACACACACACACACTGTCATCCTCCCTTTCTGTAGCCTACTTTCTGTTTGTTTCCGCCTCACGCTCGGCTCCCAGCTGAGTGCAGCCCCTGTGCTCACTGACTCTGGAGGGCGTGTTCACTCCGTTCACTCCGTTTACTCAGCACACACACACACACACACACACACGTGAATTAGTAAGCAGTTTCTACATTAAAAATTATCCCAGAGCTTAAATACGTTAGGCTGTTCAGCTTGTTTTTCTGAATAACTAAGTTGTACCCAGATCATTCAAGGACGTTATTTGTTGGGAGCCAAATTATCGCGGAGGTCCCTTCATCTCCAAAACAATATGGGAGGCTGGTGAATGTAAATCTCGGTAACAACACTGAATAAAGCTGAGATAAGAAATGTTTGTTTCCCCCAATTTGCTGTTGGGATAGGCGTACAGGGACGTGTTTGATGGGCTTGTGACCTAGCCTCAGTTTGTTTTCTCCGGACACCCTCTAAGATAAAGATGTCCATGTTCGATACTAAAATCGCCTTAGATTCAACTTTTAAGATATTTATAGTAAGGAAACAACCAAGATATAAAATGTTGTAGTTGGTATGTTGGCCTCGGAATTGGAGTATGAAAGATACGTTTTGACTGCTTCTTCTGGCAGACAGACAATGCAGACATGTATAGGAGATATGATGCCATTGTTCAGGTGACCAAATGAAAAACAGACCGTCACATCGATTATTCAATTATGGGATTTATCTTGGTTGAAAATTGCTGGAAAATTTGTGTAATGGCACAATGTACAACAACTCAAAATACTATAAAATAGGTAAGTATGGGTTTTTTCGTAGACATTATTGGAATCTGTGTGTCGCAATTGATTGTTGATAGTTCTGGTTTATTTCCCATTATGCAGCTAATTGCCACCTTAATTGGCTCGTGGACTGTTTAAAATGCAGATAAGCTTAGAGACACCTTGTGAATGTACGGCTTCTTAATAGCAGCACAAAAGTTGCAATGAGTATTGATTAAAGCGCAGTTGAATTTTCCTTCACCATTATTTAATTGTACAATGTAAAAGCGCTGGATAAGTGAACTTATCCATATTCGCAAAAGAAAAAAAGAAAGCAAGTCAAGAAAAAAATATGTTTTAGCCAACAGAAATACATTTTTAGCCATGTTAGAGTGTGGCCTTGAAATTTGGTCTTCAGTCAGTCCACCCACTTTGGACTTTATATCAAAAACTAAGGATTTAGCCATGAACATTTGGTACCAAAATTTCATGGTAACCCAGGGGATGGATTGTAAAAACTCATCCCTGACGGAGGATGAGGATATGATGAAAAAATACCGACCTGATGGCTACAAGTACTTTTACTGAAAACCACCGCACTACTTAAATTTGTGGTCTATTTTGTAGGTCATACAGTATGTGTGAATGCTGGGTGTGTGCGTGCACTGCAGCTGAGGTAAACAGGTGTCAGTCCATCCAATGGTGTGTATTTCAGAGGGCGCTGGAGCTGGGCCAATTGGTTGCCAGGGAACCAAAAGTTTGGAGTGGTCGCTCATATGTTACAAAGAATCTCTGTGTCTCCTGTCTTTCATCTCTTTGCGCTCTCCATGTCGTAGCCAGCGAATGCATATCTCTATTTGCAACTATTGCTTACCCTTTTGAGGACGTTAGCACAAAGCACATCTATAAAATTGAAAACTTTTTTTTGGCTGATAGAAATTACGCAACTTCAATATCAACAACGTTTCCAGCTGGTCATTTTTCAGGTGTTGTACTCTGTGGCTGTCAGGATGCCAGAGCAGTGGGTAATTAAGGTCCTTTGGGCTCCACACTGCCTGCTTCTAGCAGGAGGTCATCTGTATACGCTTTCCAGAGGATCAGGTAGTGGCGAAGCCACATGTTGTTAAATAATCTTCTCTTACTGATGACTGTTTTCAGACTGTTTTTGTCTTGAAACCTGTTGTTTTCATGCTGGCAGCTCTTGTATTAGTTGTGTCTTTAACTTGATTCCACCAGAGCCCTTACATTTCACTCTTTTCTGGACAATTTCTTACTCCTTAATTTACTGTGGACCAACTGCTCCGTTTCTCGGCAGTATTTTTGTATCAAACTAACGAAGAAGCGGAAACGCGGTGAGAGGTGAATGAGAATCTACGCATCCGTATTCTATGGCTATGACTCCTGTCTTTGCTCCACTCACCACACTTTTCCGATTCTGGACACCGTCCAGTACTGGTGGGACATCTTGCAGTAAATTACCACATTTTAATAATGGTTCTGTGGGAAGATAATTGTGCATGCGGCATAATTTCTTGGCCATTGGAATTGACATTGTCCACATTTGGAGTGCCAGTCTTTCCCTCCTACAGTATTTTCTCAAGCCGAGTGCATGTGACCTGTGCGTTGGAGACTCCATGCTCACAACTATAGACAGGCTCGATGTACTGAGAATGGCCATGTTTGGTCCAGAATGAGCTAAATGCACGACTATTACATAGCACACAGCGAGCCATCATCCCACACACACACAACAAACCAACACACACACACACAACAACACACATCACACTACACACAGCACATAACACAACTATGAACCTATGATAGTAATACTAATCACTCAAGCTACTGTACATAAAGCTTCCTAGGTTTGGTACAGATGATTGAAGTATTATAGTAATGTTCTAGGAAACACCACACATAACACAGACAGACAGACAGACACCACACAAACCCACAATCACACACACACACACACACACACAACACACACACACCACACACATCTAAGTACACACACAAACACAGTAAAGGCTGTTATCTCTCAATCTCCAGGTAATGATCACAGGCATGTGGCAGTTAACTGATGAGGCGCAGACTCGGCTAGACAACACCATGAAACTGTAGCTGGACCAAGATGTCTGAATTGATCAAGGTAGCAAACAATTCCCTCTGAATGGCACAAAAATCATACGAAGTCTTCTGTTGACTCAGTAACTCTATCATCTCTTTGTAAATGTTTATTTCCAGATGTGGAGAATGGTGGCTGAGGGAGGAAGGTGAAGGTGACCAGGTAAATATGTAGCAGCTCTAACTCCAGCATCCCATCTCCCTCCTTCTTGTCGTCACGACATTTATTAACTTCCCACAAGAGCTGGAGTAAAATTGTAATCCTCTCAATGAACTCACTTAGTTATCATTTTCACCCCCTTAAGAGCCATTGCGATACAGATAAAAAATCCTCCAATCAGTGCTTCTCTGGAAAAAAAAAAAAAAAAAACCTCTTTCTCTCATCTACCTCATCCTTCTCTGTTGGTGTTTTTCCTCTAGCCCTATCGCTTTAGCCATTCGAGCACAGTACTAGTCATATCACCCATTTTTAGTACTCTCATCATAAGCCTATGGCCTTTCCGATCCTAGTATATTATGAAGCAGGCTAACCACAGGCTTCATCCCCAGAGTTCTCCCAGTGCGCGATGTTCTAGACATGATCACAAGTTTCATCGAGCTAGGCATTCATTTACTGGTGCTGTACGTTCTGCATGGAGCATAACTCGTGTTAAGTCACTCCGATCCAGTCACAGCGCTTTGCTCGAACAATCTCAAGAGTTTAGCAGAGCACCGACATATGACACCATAGTGAAGTCTTGGTAGATGCAAACGTAGGTAGTTATGCACGAAAGTGAGATTAGTATAACAGTCGACCCGTAATACCACGCTTCTGCAAGGTATGGCTTCAATGCAGTACAGAGAAGTACGTGCGATGTCCGATTCACCTATAGTTAGATGAGTAGATCGTAGTGTTGCTGCAACGAGAAACAGCAAGTACATCTATGGCAGGAGAGAAACAATCAGCACTCTCCCTCCTCAGCTACACAGTGCATATACACAGCTCTTCAACGATATCCAGGTAGATTGCTTATATTTTGTCATTTCTTAGTCATGCTAACCCCTCCATCTCATCCACACTACTCATCTCACTTGAGTCATCCTTGTCCAGCATCTCGTACTCTAGTACCGAGCTGCACATTATCGCTAACACCTACAGTATCGTGTGTAGTGTACAGAAGGACAAGCAAGATGAGACGGACCAGGGTGAATTTTGATTAAGAGAGGTATCAGCGAGTAGCAGTGACTCTAATCGACTGTGAATAATGATGAAACGACAAGATTTTTTTTATGTTTCTGAGCCCCTGTCATTTTAGGTTTGGTCCCCGTGTGAAGCCCTGGGGGTTGGGTGTGTTTATAAGAGGATATTTTTCTCAAGCATTACTGCATTGTGTAACGAGTGGTCTGTGCATGTGCCTCACTATGTATATGTACCATATTTATTTCAGAGACATTTTGACTGTTAGTCTTCATACAATCAGAACAATATGAGAAACAAAAAGCCTCTGATTGTTTCAGCGATTCAAAAACCCAACATAAATCAAATCTTCACTTCAAACTATTTTAACTAGTTAAAAGTTTGTTCCTCTTGCCAAAACAACAGGCAACTGGCTGTATCAAATGAGCTGTTTCGACTGTGTAAACAGTGCAGTTGGCAGTTATGGGAAAGTGGTGATATAATCCCATGTAGACAGAAGGTTCAGACAAGCGTCATTACTGGCATTTAGAACTTTTTTTCAAGAACACTGAAATAGACCAAAATGAGACTGTGGAGCTCGATTTTGTGTCTACAAGTTACTTACTGTGTGTCATGTTGAGTTGTGAAACTTTCCTACGCTGTTTTATTGAAACCAAAAATTAAACTCTATATGTATCTTATATCTATTTTTATTATATTAACTTGTAGTGTGTGAAATTGCTTGTCTGGGGACCCCGAGGAGCCATCTTGAGGATTCCTAAAGGTCCAACTTTTGGGACCATAAGACTTATTAGAAGCTTGTAGCCCTTCAAAACTTCATAAGACCTCCAGTACTAGCTCATAGCACTTCACGACTTTGATTTGTTGTGTTTTTGTTAGAATGGTCAATAGCTTGGAGCCTTTTTTACAAGTTAATTTGTCATGGAGGGGATTTCAGGTTTGGTTGCTCATTTATATGAGATACATATCAGCTTTAACCCTTTAATTAACATGCTCAAAGAGATGTGATGTGGCCCTGCTTTACTCGTGATTAATAACTGAAAGGTTGGCTTTTATGAAATGTTTGGATTTTTTTGTTTTGCCATTTGAATTAATTAATAAGGCTGTCTGTCTGAATAAATAAATAATAAATACCTGTTTCTCCCAGTTTGTGGTTGTGTGTGTGTGTGTGTGTGTGTGTGTGTGTGGTGTGGTGTGGGTAAGGGTGCGGAATGTTGTGTGGGGGTGTGTGGTGTGCTTCTTGCAGTCAATGAGAATCTCGGTAGCAGCTAAACACTGTAAAAATTGTACAGTATGTGCTGAGTGTTGTATTTGCCCTTGCCTAGTAGAGTGAGAGAAAAACAGATTCGACTGTATTTCTGGGTGTGACCGGAGACGTGACACATAAGAATCATCTACTATATAATCAGATATGTGTGTCGGTATGGATCCCAGCAAGGCAGCCAAGAACACAGCGCTTGGTGGAGCCTTTAGGGGAGCAGCAGGATGGCTGGTTGGATGCACCAGTCGCTGTCTGAGCCAGAACCTACAAGCTTGAATAAGCCCACACAAAAGCTTCCCAACTGGGCAGACTATGCTGTCATCCAGTCTGTTGACAAAAGACAGGACTGAATACATGTCTTTTTGTTTCACTCTGAACCCCCCTACACACACACACACACACATCACACACACACATTTCCAGTGAGGAGAAACACATCAAGTTCCGCACTAAAGTTGAGGCTGGTTTAATGTGCTGCTGGCAATTCTCTCCTCTGCTTTAAAACAAGCAGAAAGCTCTGTTTGTATTGTGTATGTGTGTGCTGTGTGTGTGTGTGTCGTGCGTGTGTGT